ACCCAGGTACCGGTATAGCAAAGGAGGGGACTCTGGGTGATGTCAGGGAGGCTCTAGGTGTGTGTTGTGTGTTTGTGACACTCCGGGTGTGCAGGGGGGGTTTAGGGATCCAGGTGAGTGTGTGTGTGCAGACGGGGAGAGGCACAGTAGTGAGGAAGGGGGGCTGCAGCTCGCATTCAGGGAGTTGCTTCCGTCCCACTCCCAGGTAAAGGAGCTCGAGGCTTTGGGCGGGGAGCCCTGCTCCGAATGAACATCTGGCCAGCTGTCCGCGGGTCCTGCAAACAGCTGAAGCTCTGCGAGCATTGTGTGGAGGAGGACAGAGCGCACAACCTCTCGGGCTGCGTGTGGGAACAATGTCGGCCCGAGGAGCCAGGTATGGAGTGTAGCCCTCCCCGAGGTGAGTGCCCAGTTCTGAACCCCAGGGCCTTGGGCCCTCTCCCCACACCTCTCCCCTGCACTCTCTCCCACCAGGACACTGTGTGGACCAAGCTGAGGTGACCCCGGAAGGTTGCTCTGTCTACAACCACTCCGAGTCGTGTCCAGGTAGGGGGCTCCCACTGGCCTAAGCTAAACTGGGGGGGTGGAGGAGGCTGAGGTGTCCCAGCCAGAGCCTGCGCTCCAGGAGAAGTCCGTCTCTCGGGGAGCAGACCATGCCTACCAGCACCTGGCTCCAGTTTCCGTTCTGCCTTCAGCTCACAGAGAACTCCTTCCCTCTCTGGCCTGTTTCCTCCTCTGTAAACTGGTACAGATGGAGGATACAGGGCAGGTGTGTGGAGCCGGAGGGGGGAGGGTAGCTCTTCTCATCTAAAGCACAGTGAGGACTTGGGAAGTTCAGAAGCGAACAGGGGAGGGCTTTCTGGAAGAGTAGCATGAGATGACCCTGAAAGGTCGAGATGGAGAGAGGGCACATTGGTGGAAGGAACCGCATGAACTGAGGCTTGGGAGTGTGTTGGGTGGATTTGGACCTGGGACAGAGGACCTGGTCTGAGTCAGAAGCCCAGCTGTAGGCCCGGCCTGGGGTCTTAATAGGAGTCAGGAGATGGGAGAGCCGGGTTTTTATGGATTCCCTGTCTCTTTAGCTGCCCACCACCACCCCACCTATGAACCGAAGACAATCACAACAGGTAGGTACTACCGAGGGGAGCTGGGCAGTGGCAGGACTAGAGGTGCAGGGAAAGGCAGAGCTGGGCTCAGACACTGACAGGCTTTGTGACCTCAGACCTGTGACTTCTCCCTCGAGCCTGTTTCCACGTCTGTAAAATTGGTTGGGAACCACCTTACATTGTTGCTGTGAGGATCTTATAAAAGGTGTGTCGCCCCTAGTTCAGTGTCTGATGGAAGGAAGGCGATAAGCAATGGTGGTTCCAATCCCTTCCCCCCAGCACCACTTCTGAGAATCAGGGTGACCCCCTCAGGGACCTGCGCTTGGTGCTGAGGGTGTATGGCTCAGTTTGCCAATGAGATGTCCACTGTGACCACCCGCTGGTCCAGAGAGGGTCACGAAGCAGATCCCCAGCAGAACAGAGGCAAGAACCCCACCCCTGGGCCCCCACTGCCCCTCGGAACCTGGAGTTCAGCGGGCTTGGCAGGGCTGGCTGAAGAGGCTCTTGGTTAATTAAAGCCAGAAACGTGATCTCAGGGGCTGAATTATTGATGGTCATCTCCCTCCAGCTCGGCCCCAGATCAGTCTTGTGCAGCTCATTTCTTCCCTCTTCTCTCCTCTTCCCCCACAAAGGGCTCCCTGAGCTGCAGCTGGGACCACCTTTGCCCTTCATATTCTCAGACCTCCTAACACAAGCCACCCCCTCTGGGGAGTGGGCCAGCTCCCCGTGGGGCCCCTGTCCACTACCCCAGAATGATCTCCCACCACCAGCCCTGCCCTGGCCTGGGCACCGGGCCCAGGGCCTGAAATCAAATCCCTATTGAGGGTGGATGGCGAACGTGGCACAGCTGGGAGCCACCCAGGCTCCGTCTGACAACCATGGTCCCCACGGTGGGGCTGGGGAAGGGTCAGGGGACACTGTGTACGTTTGGATTATGTCCAAACTGTGAGGAGACTCTAGGCAGGTCTGGCCCTCAGAACCTGGCTTCTCCCTCCAACACACATCACTTAGTCTCCATGTATCCACTCCGTGTGGGAGACCAGGGTGTGGGCCTCCCCTTCTCCCTCTGCTCCCTCCCTTTCTAAGTTAGGGTTCTGACGTGGGGTAGCTCCATGTCAGAAGTCCTGAAAGGGGACCATATCATCTGTCCCTGGACTTTTGAACCCCGAGATCCAAAGGTCAATAGGGACCTGGATGTCTGAGTCCTGGGTCCATCCTCATCCTCTTGGGCCAGTGTGGGAGGGGAGTCTGGAGGGGAGCTCCGTTGCCATCTGGCCCATGTGGTCAGGAGGCTGAGGGTGTGAAGAGCATCCAGACACAGAGCAGTTCAGGAGCAGACCAGGGCTGGAGCCAAAGGCCCTGTCCCCCCAACTGTCTGCTGCTCCGGCCCCCAGAGTGAGGACTGGGGCCTCCAGGTGGGGGTGACTGGGGTAGG